GAAAAAATATCGAACCGTGAGACTAAAGTATCGAACCGAATCGTGGATTTTCTGTATCGTTGCACCCCTAGTAACTAACTATACTCTCAAGTTACCATTTTGCATGTGCCTCTGTATAAGGGACAAACAAAGTTGAAAGTTATAATAGCAAAAGCAAAATTTGTCAACTGATTTTCTTAATGTAAAATAAAAATTCTAACTGACCTTTATTTTTTCCCAGCTTTTCCCAATTGAACTATTACAGGCCAAGCAAAAATAATTTCAGGCATCTCTTCAAGCAAATAAAACAAGGTTTTCTAAAAGCCTTTAGTGTAGAAATAGCCTGGTAAAAACCAGCCCCTTGTCCTTCACTTTGCTTCATACGAGGGTCTGGACTCTCAGCTATAGAGAAGCGATTCTTGCTGGAGGCGTGGCCTCTGCTGAAGTTTAAAATGATTGGATCGAGGGTCTGGACTCTCGGCTATAGAGAAGCGATTCTTGCTGGAGGCGTGGCCTCTGCTGAAGTTTAAAATGATTGGATCGGTTGGCCGCGACATTTGTAGCCAGCTCCACTGTGAAGGAGGCTAAGCTAAGAAGCTAACTGGAAATTGTGTGCACTGTAAACAACCSTACTGASAGGAGGGAAGTACTGAGCCGAACGAGATGACTGTAAATGATGCTGCAGRCTTTGTCAGACAAATTGAATTAAATTTGGAAAGGACTGGCTTCATTCTCTTCCTCCACTGTCATAGCTAAACTAACTAGCAGACATTGCGCAGAAAATCGACGTTGTCGTTCAAAACTCCGCCTTCTGTTCTCTGATTGGCCCGAACAAATTTCTCCTGCATAAATCCTTGTCTATGGGAGAAGTCTCAGACGGAGCAGTGAAGGGAAACTGGAAATGAGCGGAGCTGCGTTGGAAGGCAAGGGCCAGGCTAGTGTAGAAAGGGCTATAAGAGTCTGCTTCTTTTTGTTTGTTTTTTTAAGTTTATCAGATTTTTCACAGAAAGTTTCATCTTGTCCAAAAAGAAAAGTTCATGTGTAAAATATAATATTCAGACATATTATATGATTTCAGTGCTTCATTTTGAGACTACTGGTGCAGTGTTTGCAGGAGGTCTGTTATCATCTATTTCCTGTCACAAGTAAAACATTGTTCAAGGTAATAGTTTTAGTTTTCAGATATGTTAGGGCTTCTCAAACATACTTTCCTCCAGATTTAACAGCAGTTTAAAATGGTTTAGACATTTTTCTGAGATGTACAAAAAAATAGAGGTAATAGTAGTGGGTCATCATGGATTACAATGTTGTCATCTTGAAATCAAAGATGACAAACATCCAACAACACTTAAAATGTAACAACCAGCCTAACTGCAATTTTATGAGTTATACATCCTTTATTTTGAGTAAAATCTGTTCATTTGTTTCAATAAAGCAACCATTAGAGGACGCTATATTTTTGTGGTCATATTTTTTTCAAAACACCAAGTATCATAGACTTTTCATTCAGTTTTGTGCCTTAAGCTAGTAAACATTTCTGGTAAAACTTTAATTTGAGTCCCTCCAAAAATAAAACTATTGTACAAGTTAACAGCACAAGAGTTTTATTCTGAGAAATGACCTATTATGTATACAATTTAATTTTATTTACATATATTCCCATTACTACAGCTGAAATTAAGTATTTTTAATGAATGTCTCTTAAATTGATTTAAACACCCCCTTTCCAACTCTAACCTAAATGAAAAACATGTTTTCTTGTTAATCACATGATTTAGGGGAAATCTTGCTCAGTGCAGTGAGGAAAGGGTTACAGATTGYGAAACTAAAGTAAACACGTTCCATGCCCAGAGCCAAACAGTGATTTTCTATGTTATTCTAAAACCTTCAAGTTTTAGTCTGACATTTTCATTTGATAAAATCTCTGGAAGCAATAATCGTTTTATCTATTTTTACTGCACATTCTCTTGCATTAAGAGCTTTTTTTCCCTGATTAGTTAGTACCAGTTGCTGCACAACTCCTGTGAGAAGCATTTCCAGGATAAGATTTTATTTTTTTTTTTTGTTTGCAGAGAAAAACAGAGAAGGCATTGCTCGATCCAACAATTGAGAAATAAAGGGGAGGAGGGCTTGTAAATCCTGTTATTCCAAAGCTTGAGTCAGAGCGGGGTAGGCAACAGAAGCTGCAAAATGAAGCTCTGCATTGTCTCAGTACTTCTCCTGATCTGGACTGTGGAGGCCTCAGACAGGTAAATGAAGAAATATATATGAACATTTTATAGCCTTGTAATGTGATGACAATGTATTATTACTGATTAATGCAAACGTGGTGAAGGTGGGTTACAATARACTTGAATGCGATCATGACAAATTGCATAACTGTCACTTACTGTCATCAACTGTCGTTTGGTAGCTATGTAATAGTATGAATGCACTAAAATGTTTGTACATGCATAAAAATGCATTAAAATAAATGTGGGTCGTTAAATAACAGAACAAAACCTAAATATCACATGTGTGTGCACAGATTCTTCATCTCAGCCCCCAGTATTTTTCATTTGGGTGTGAAAGAGAAAGTGGTCGTCCAGATGGAAGATGATTATCTCAACCGACCCGTTACTCTCTACCTGGAGGACGAAAATACTGGGACACTTATGTCTAACGATGAAACTACTCAATGTACTCAAAAAGGGGAAATCAAAATTGTTGAACTGATGGTATAAAAACTTTTGTATGTGTTTGTGCATTCTAGACAAATTAGATGTCTTTCACCAAATCTATTCAATTGTATCTTCACAGATAAACAGAGAGAATTGGTTAAAAAAATATGAACGTAAACAACGGCCATACCTTAATCTGGTGGCAGAGGTCTCCAACTCCACTACAAGGAAAATAACAAGGGTTCTGGTTACAAATCACAGAGGATATATCTTCATCCAGACTGATCAGCCAATGTACAACCCAACACAAAAAGGTAAAAACAACTTAAATATATTAGGAAAATGTTCTCATTTCTGATATACATTTTTCTCCGTCTTAGTGAGATTCAGGATATTCACTCTTGATCATATGTTTAGGCCACATGAGGAAACCATCCACATATCAGTATTTGTGAGTTGAAAAGTGTTTTTTCTTATCATTTYTCTTCAAAATGCTAAGAGCTTTGATCCAAATGTCAGGATTCATGCCTGTTTTTGTGACAGAATGCTGCTGGAAACAAAGTAATGAAGCTTTCAAGGGCTGCAGTGGGAGGAATTTATAAAGATCATTTCCCAATTTCAAGTGTATCTAAGTATGTTAGAATCAATTTAAAATGAACTGATTGACATTTAATCACAAGCAAGAAAAGCAATATGTTTTTTTTTTTGTCTAAAGAATGGGTACATGGAAGATAACCGCACACTATGATGGTGATGAGGCAMATGCTGTCCGAGAATTCAAAGTCCAAAAATTTGGTGAGTCAAACCTAAACATAGAGTTTCACTTGTTTAAAAACAGATGTTTCTCTAAAAGTACGGTTTTGCCACACATTCTAGTTTTACCAAGTTTTGAGGTGAACATTAAAATGGAGCAGCGTTACATTTTGTTGAACGACGAAAGGCTTGACTTCACAATCTTAGCAACGTAAGTGTTCATAAYAATCAAATCCTATAAGATGGGTTRTTGTTTTGTTTTTATTTTGCTGCTGTTTGTTTTTGCACACAGTATATACCTAAAGCAATTTACAGAAAATGGTAGTGAACCTATTTTGTGTACAGCAGTGGCCTCCTGTGCATCTGCAGTTGGAAAAATTTACTCACTTCATAAAGAGTAAATCAATACATCTGTTCTTATAAATAAAGTCTTTTTAATTTTTTAGCAATTTGAGAGAATGTGAGTAATTTTTTCAAAGAAAATCTAATAAGGCCGGGTTCACATGGAAAGATAATTGTGACGACTTTTTGGCCCAATTTTGCCCTTAACACCCCGGTATATTGTGATGTCTTTAAATATATCCTTAGAGATATCCCTGCAGTGTGTGGTGTGTTAAGAATGGTCTAGTTGATTCTGAAGRAGGCTGGGACCGCCCTGATCTCAAATCAGGGATATTCAACATGTTGGCATGTTTTGGTTTGATATTGTAGCATGTGTGGTGTTCCCCTGAGGACAAACAAGCATGCAGCCTGTTAAATGTGGGGTGTCRCCATTCAGGAAGCGAAGTGACAGAAGAGAGGAATCAAAAATTCAGAGGACAAAACATCTGCCATAACGCACCAGAAAGTATGGTGGATGTTGGAGACGTCTTTTGGCTATATTTTTTCTCTGTTTCTCATCTGCCATGTTTATTTACTCTAAACTCACATTTCATCACGTGAGATTTCCCGTCATCTGATCATTCAAGAGTGAAATCTGTTTGTGTGTAGTGTATTGTCTTTTACCCTGTGGATGTACACCACACACTGTAGGACCAATTGTTATTTCTATGTTTTTTTTATCATCGTGTTCATGTATGAGGTCTTTYAGTCTTTAAACAGCCGACAATTTTACAATCTTGTCATTTGAACCAGGCATTAGGTAACAACAGTGAGTAATGCTAGTTAAGTTATATATAATCTCAGAATTGCAAGTATTCAGCACTTTTGTTGCATATTCAGATTCTTCGYTTCAACCTAAAGTTTTTTTTTCTAGGTACTCACATGGTGAAAAAGTCAAAGGGGCTTACCACTGCCAGTTTGGAGTGGTGAAAAAAGATGCAACCTTTGGTCAAAAAACACCAGAATTTATAAGGGGGCTGGAACTGGCTGGCTCGGTGAAGAAACTCAATCACCATCAGTTTGTTTTGTAACTTTTCAAAATTAGGAAAAATGTTGCATTTGTCAAGTGTATTAATATGTGTCATTTTTGCAGGTCCAGAATGGAACAGCAGACTTTACCCTTCAGTTAAATGAGATTAATTCAAAACTCATGAAACAGATGAACAAAACCCTCTCTGACTTACCGAAAAGTGGATCACAGATCTATGTGGGAGTATATGTCACCAACATTCAAAGTAAAACGCACATACACACACAAACACGCTGATTACTACTGCTTTTACAACATCCATTTGGTCCAAATATCTCATTGTCATATTATGTTGCAAAAAGGGTCTAAATCAATCAATCACGTCTTCAAAGCCTGTCTCATGACCCTGGACCTGTGCAGATCCATCAGTGGCTGTTGGTATTTTCCAGTTAGTTCACTCCCCAGCTTGATGATGTAACATCTAGTTACGTGTGGACAGTAAAGCTAGGATAAAACACAGAAATGGAAAAGGTCAAGACACTCTGAATGGTGGCTTTAGAACTGGGCCAGGTTGGTGTGATCAGCATATTTCAGAAGCTTTACAGAGGGATCACTGGAGTGTAGTGTACACTGGAGTGTAGATCATTGGTGTACAGAGCAAACAGAAGAGTACACATCCCAGTGGTGCACCATGTTGGTGAGGATATGGGTTGACAGGTGAGTGCCACACCTCACCTGTTGGTGAAAAACTCTTTTTAGATGGCAAAAAGAATCTGTTGAGCAAGTTTTGTCTGCTGATGGAACAGAATTATTGTATTAAAGGCAGACCTAAAGTCTAGAAAAGAGACCGTAGTACAGCAGTTTTTCCTGTCTAGGTAATCCAGAAGATAATGAAGGCTGAAATCCACACCTTTGTGCACAGAAAGGTTTGACCTGTAGTGAACTGTGAAGTGTCCAGCTGATGGTCAGGGGTGATTCTGAGAACGAAATCAGTGTTTCAATACACTTCATGGCTACAGACATGAGGGCAATAGGTCATTAGTCATTCAGACAGGTCATCTTAGGGGATAGCTCTTTTCCAGCACTGCGGAGCATGATGCATTTTAATATATCCAAGAGAACAAATACATTTAGTTTGAATAATACCTTCTAAACAGCGTGAAGTGACTGTAAGCTCCTGTTAAAATAACGGAAGAGAATTCTCTCAGACAGAAGGGTCATTCCAACATAACAAATAGTGTTGCCACTCACCTCAGTGTCCTGCATAAAATAATTTTATGATTTGAATAATTTGCAAATAAAGCACAATAAAAGAAAGGTCATAAATAAATAAATGTTTTTTTACTTTAATACTATTACCATTTGAAACTTAGGTGGTGAAATACAGGAGGAGGAAGTGTTTCTTCCCATCATCTTCCAAAAATACAGCTTAGATCTTTCCCGAATTCGTTCTCATTTTATCCCTGGATTTCCACTTGAAGTGCCGGTATGTCAAAGATAAACAAATAGTTAAATCTTTTGTTACTTGAGCGAGCCTGAAAATTATTTTTTAAAAGTTTCTCTGTTGTAGATGGTYATGCATCTCCCAGATGACAGCCCTGCAGCTGATGTACCGATAAATATTACTGTTAGTGCAGGTGATGCACGGGTACACTGGAACGGCACCACTGACCAGGAGGGAGCAGTGTCTCCTGTTTTTGAAACTCGTAATGCAACTAATATTGCAATTGAAGTTAGTATTCATAAAAATCAGTTAAAGGCTTCAGCAAAACACCTATGATTTTCTTGTAACTTTTTCCTCTTCTCTTTTATGCAGGTGTCAGCAGAGGGTATTCATAAAAGAAAAATTATACCTAGCACTCTGCAAACTAATAACTATCTTTACATGGCAATTACCCATGAGGTGTACTCTGTGAATGACTTCCTTTCAGTACAATTTAACACCTTCAATGGCCCGAGAAGAGGACATATATACTACATGGTGAGGACCACAAGTGATCTGTTGCAACAGGTTTTAAAATAAAATAAGCTTCTGGTCAAGGTTGGTAAAAAAWTTTTGCCTGAATGTGTTGCAGGTTTTGAGCCGTGGGATCATAATAAAAACTGGCTCACTTGCAATTGGTCCATCCGTTACTCACAAAGTGCAAATAACAGCTGATATGGTTCCATCTTTCCGCGTAATTGGTTATTACCACGGCACAAATGGTGACATCGTAGCTGACTCGGTGTGGGTTGATGTCAGAGATGAATGTGAGATAAAAGTCAAGGTGAGTAAACCGAATTGATAAGTGAGGCAGGCCTATTGACGCTTTTAAATCATTTGACTTCATGTGATTAAGTTTGTTAATTATTTTTAAGTGGGACTCTTTGGGATACATACATACAGTATGAAGTATTAGGAAATTTTCAAACTAATACAAAGGCATAATCTGACTTTGATCTTAAAATGTCTAATTCAGACTGCAAAAGTTACTATAGTACATTTTATGTGGCTATTAGTAAATATAGATACAACTCTTGCCATGAGGTTTACATACACGTGCATCGTTTTAATGTAGTTAAGATTTTAAAATGAACATTTTATATATATATACAGTATATATAAATTTCCATTTTGACTTTAGGTAGAGCACAAAGGACAGCCTAAGCCTGGACAAAAATCTGTGCTAGAACTGGATTTACACGCTCAGTCTGCAAAAGTGGCTTTGCTGGCTGTGGATAAAGCATTCTACGCTCTCAAAGCTAATAATAAACTTACAGACAAACAGGTTATATTTTTAAACTCTCTTTTCATGCTTCTTTTATAGTTTTAAATCTATAGTAAAGAAAACTAAGCTATTGCTTTCACTTTTCAGGTGTTTTCTACCATGAAGCTCTATGACCACGGCTGTACATATAGTGGAGGAGCTAACCCGTCATCAGTCCTTTTGGATGCTGGCCTCTCTTTTGTATCACACTCTGAAACACATTGGAGGAGGAGTAAGACAAAAACAGCTTGATATAGATTTGATTTTATTAGTTTTTGGTTAGATTCTAAAACTTGCTCTTATAGATCGAGTAAATCAGTTGCAGCTTGTCACTTATTTTAAGGTTTAGATGTTGATTCAAAACAAGGTCTGTTGTGTTTAGACTATTTTACAAGCTTCACTTCACACCAKTGAGTGAGTGCCATTTTAAATTTGTGTTTTAAATAAGTGTTAWATTGATTATTTACACAAAACAAACAATTAAATCAGGGTACAACTCACAACCTGGTATGGTCTACTCGGGAGATCTGGAGAGGAGGGTCCGTCGGATAGTCGAATCTCGGATTCAGGAAGAGCAGTGTGGTTTTCGTCCTGGTCGTGGAACAGTGGGCCAGCTCTACACCCTCAGCAGAGTCCTGGAGGGTGCATGGGAGTTCGCCCAACCAGTCTAAATGTGTTTTGTGGACTTGGAGAAGGCATTCGACCGTGTCCCTCGGGGACTCCTGTGGGGGGTACTCCGGGAGTATGGGGTCCCAGGCCCATTGATACGAGCTGTTAGGTCCYTGTACGAYCGGTGCCAGAGCTTGGTCATTTCCGGTGAGAATTGGACTCCACCAAGGTTGCCCTTTGTTACCAATTCTGTTCATAACTTTTATGGACAGAATTTCTAGGCGCAGCCAAGGTGTTGAGGGGATCCTTTTTGGTGACCTTAGGATSAYGTCTCTGCTTTTTGCGGATGATGTGGTCCTATTGGCTTCATCAGATCCTGATCTCTAGCTCTCACTGGAGCGGTTCACAGCTGAGTGTGAAGCGRCAGCGATGAGGATCAGTGMCTCCAAACCTGAGACCATRGTCTTGAGCCGGAAATCGGTAGCGTGCCGTCTCCGGGTTGGGGAGGAGGTCCTGCCCCAAGTGGAGGAGTTCAAGTATCTCRGGGTCTTGTTCACRAATGAGGGAAGAATGGAGAGAGAGAGATCGACAGGCGGATTGGTGCTGCRTCTGCAGTGATGCGGGCGCTGTACCGGTCTGTTGTGGTGAAGCGAGAACTGAGCCAGAAGGCGAAGCTCTCGATTTACCAGTCGGTCTACGTTCCTATCCTCATCTATGGTCACGAGCTTTGTGTAGTGACCGAAAGAATGAGTTTGTGGATACAAGTGGCCGAAATGAGTTTCCTCTGCAGGGTGTCTGGGCTCTCCCTTAGAGACAGGGTGAGAAGCTCAGTCATCCAGGAGGGACTCAGAGTAGAACTGCTGCTCCTCCACGTCGAGAGGAGTCAGTTGAGGTGGCTCGGGCATCTGGTTAGGATGCCTCCAGGACACCTCCCTGGTGAGGTGTTTCGGGCACATCCCACTGGRAGGAGGCCCAGAKGAAGACACAGGACACGCTGGAGGGACTATGTCTCTCAGCTGGCCTGGGAATGCCTTGGGATTCCCCYGGATGAGCTGGCCCAAGTGGCTGGGGAGAGGGAAGTCTGGGTCTCTCTGCTAGGCTGCTGTCCCTGCGCCCCAACAMCGGATAAGCGGCARAAAATGGATGGAYGGCTTTTGAAGCTACAGTTTGATACCTTGCAGCCATACCACTCTGAACAGACCAGATCTTGTCTGATCTAGGAAGCTAAACAGGGTCAGACTGGTTAGTAATTGGATGGGAATGCCAGGTGCCATAAAAACCRGGTTGCCCCCACATTGGTCTCTATCAATATAAAAATTTTGAACATAATAGCTCATAGGTTGCCTTCTAGAAGGATGCCAAATTATCAATCACTGATACCTTCGTCATCATGAGTGGCTGCAGAAGTATGGCTTGATTTGTCTTGCTAATCAGGATGACCCCTGGAAATTTGGTCTGAATTTCTTATTTGTATGTGTTCTAATGAGTATTCTGTAATGTTATTTTTTTTGTTATTTTATTGGGGCGGCTGTGGCAGAGTGGTTATGCTGCGTTCATACCGAACGCGATTTCAGCTTCAAAATYGCATCAAACGCTTCAAGTTGGACACTTGTGCACTTTGAGGTCAGACGCAGGTCAGCTCTTGAAGCGCTCGCACGGCAAGAGCCTCCCCGCCCCTCCCTCCTCTGTCTGGCTCTGTTTAATGTCAGACGAGGAAGTGCTTTGCTTTATTTACAGAGAGCAAGAGCATGTCACGTTCATCAGATAATTAATTCATAATTAATTCACCAGAAAATTCAGAGACATTCTGAGTTTCATCACCCAGGAGCTGCGGGAGAGGCTCACAGCTCGCTTTCAGGACTATTTTTGTCCCGAGTCCAGTCTGATGAGCCGCTGCCACGCATTGGTGCGGATATCTCCTGTCAGGAGACCGACTGCAGGCACTCGACTTCAGCTAAAGAGCTCCTCTCCATCAGTTTCAGGTTTGTCGACATCATTCAGTAAACTGTCCCATCGGGAAATATGTCACTACGTCACACAGTGGAGTCTCTCTGATTGGTTGACGCGGCGCGTCGAGCTGCAAAAGTTCAGATTTTCTAACTTCAGCGATTTGCGCATCAAGACGTCGAACGCTCAGATCGTTCAAATCGCGCTGCTCTAATCGCGCTTGAGGCGCCGCAGCACTTCCCGACGCTGATTGAAGCGCGTCCACCATAGGCTTTGCATGTAAACCTGATGCTCCTGATGCTGATACTTCACCCCAATGCCTCTGATGTGTGTCCCATCAGTGTATGAATGTGATTGGCACTGATTAGTCTCCATAGTTGATYGTACATGTTAGCTTTGTAGGAGATCAGGTAGAGTGGTGTGTGAATGGGTAAATGAGGACACAGATTGTAGGGTGAAGCGCTTTGAGTATCCTGGTTGGGTAGAAAGGCGCTATACAAGTACAGCCCATTTACTATTTACCATTTATTTAAATGTGAAAAACTCAAACTWTACTTGGATATTGTAATTTCCCAGATTGTACTGAAAGTAGATTTGCTAGCGTGCAAAGAAAATAGCAAAAATGAAGAGATTTCTGCTGGAAATCATTGTTGTTGGTTAGGTCTAAACAAACAAACACCACAACCTTCCCTTTTAGAACATACAACAGAAGTGAGGCAATTCTTGTTGACCAGAGAGAATAACAAGGTGACACTAAACAAGGGGCTTATTGTAACAATCTGTAGTGTGGAAACCTAAGTGCAAAGCAGGGACTCAAGAGGCTGGGGRAAAAAGTAACTGATTTATTTAATACAAAATAAAGTGCTGTCGAGGCAGCCAAACTGTACTTACATAAATMAAAWAATCTCAGGAAGGATCACAAGGAGGATTGAGACAGTGTAGGACACACTTAATGCTCCACAACTGGAGCCACATTTAAAGGAGGACACAGACAACAAAGAACAGGTATGCAGGGCAGGAGCAGAAATACAGAGAGACACACTGAGGAGCTGAACACAGGAGGGTAAAGTACAAACCCAAAGATCATAAAGACAAAAATAACAAAATAATAAACTCTAAAAACACAGATCCTCACACTTAAGAGTATCCCTATACGTGCCAAATGCTTATAACCCTGGATAACTGTTTGAGAGAATACAATACTCCTAAATGTTATCTGAAGTTAATCTTTTATTTATGCTATCAAAAAGCCATGTTTAATGACATAAATCTAAAAAACTTTCTCAACAACATCATTTCATCTAGCTTGCCAACATTTTTTAAAATTAACACCTCTTTTACAGATATTAAGTGTAATCCAGAAAATGCACGATTAAGACGATCAGTGGATCCTCACCAGGAAATGATGACTTTAGGTATAATTTACATAAATCCTTCACTCTCAGAAAACACAAACCTTAATGATACAAATAACTGCTATAATTGTTTCCCAATTCTTTGTCAGTTACAGAGTTGAAGTTAAAACCTGAAGAGCAAGACTGTTGCACTCATGCATTTTCTCCCATCCCTATGAGACGAACATGTGAAGAAAGAGCAACGAGAGTTCAACTAATACAAGGAAATCAAATGTGTGTGGATGTTTTTCTAAAATGCTGCAAAGCAGCAGAGAAGATGAGACAAAAAGAGATGCWAGAGGATGTCCAGGATGGACTCGGCAGAAGTGAGATGAAGCACTTCAGAYATCTTTTTCTTTATAAAGAAATTAATCAATCTGTCATGATTAACGCTATTTAACTTTTTGTTTTTGTATCTTTAGCTGCAACCTCAGCTGATATTGAGAAGTTCTTCCAGGAAACTTCTAATCAGTACATCCGGCAATATTTTCCTCCAAGCTTTGCATTTACAGAGTTTGATGTGAATGGAAAACATTTGTAAGACATGAACATTGAACTTTAACTGAAATCATTCAGTTTATTTCTTTCAATGAAATCCAACACTTYGCTTATCTAAACTATATGTGACCCATCATATCGAAAGGAGGATTAAGTCAAATTCAGTCAAAATGACAATTGTCAGATTCCTGGCTTTAAAAGCTACATTTTGATACCTGCATCATTCTGATATCATAAGCTTACCCTGAGATATGACTTAATTTGTCTTGTTGGTTACGATAATACATTACTGTTTGGTCTGAATCCTAATTGTATGTACAGGTATTGTGTAATTTTTTTACGTCAATGTAAAGAGGAAACCTCAAATAGTATTTGTTTATTAAGATTTCCCAGTTGGAAAGAAACAAACATCAAAATCATTGCTAGCTCACAGGGAAAAATTCAAAATTTTAAGGCTTTTTTTCCTCAAAATCAGTTTTTTGTTGTTAATGCTCAAAAAAATGCTTCTAAATTTTTTTTGGGTTATATTTCAGACAATTCATTAAAAATAATACATTGATAAGGCATTATATTCATTCATTATATTTTGACAAAATGCAATTTTTGCACACATTTAAATCAAAGCCCTATATCTACCCATTTCTCCACATTCCACTTTTGGACTAAATCTTTGTTTCAGTGTGATGGGTCATATATTTTGTTACAAGTGAGCATTTCAGCTTTTTCTAAAAGGTAATATAGATTAAACTGGTTACCAGTGCAAAAAATGTCAAGCATTTTCTAACAAAGTAATTTATTTAATGTGATTAACACATCTAGATATTCATTGACTCTACCAGACTCCATCACAACGTGGGAAATTCAGGTGGTCACGTTATCTCCTGCTACTGGTACAAAGAACTTTACAGATGTCGTTTAAATATTTGATGTGATTATTTTATGYCTCACTYTTATCKTACTCTTTCAGGTTTCTGTGTAGTTAAACCACATGAAGTCAAAGCATTTAAAGAAACATTTGTGTCTCTGAGGCTGCCTTACTCTGTTAAAAAATATGAACAACTATCTGTGTCACCTGTTATCTACAACTATGGCACAGAACCACTACAGGTAAAAAYGACCTGATTCATATTGGCCTTTAGTCCTCCTGATTCATAAGTAAACTATTTTGGGAAATTTGTATTTCCACAGCTGGCTGTACATATGGAGCAAACTGAAGGACTTTGCTCTCCTGCATCAGCCACAAAACTCTCCTTTGTTACAATAGATGTTGAGCCACAGTCTTCTCAGTTTGTTTCTTTCTCTGCTGTCCCTATGGTCACKGGATCAAGAGCCATCAAAATACGCCTGTTTGACATTAAAAATAGCTATGGAATAGATGCAGTGGAGAAAATTTTAAATGTGCAGGTTAGTGGCAAAACTATTACTACTGAATTATCTTTCATATCAACTAGTGGGATTAAACAAAATAAGGAAACTAATACTTTATTTGCTTCTCTGTTAAATCCTGCTACAGACAGAGGGGTTAGAAGAAAGAGTGGAAGAAACCACAGTAGTTAAACTAGATGGTGAGCGATTTAATATTTCTGTTTTATACTTGCTTTAATTTTGTAATTTTTGTTCTCTAGTACATTTTTCCTGTCATTGTAGGGCAGAGTTCAAAAACAATATACATTGATGGCAGTTTGCCARATGAAACCGTCCCAGACTCCAGCTCCAGCATGTTCGTTTCAATAGAAGGTCGGTAAGGTCAGGCAGAAACAAAACACTGGCTTTACAACTAACWGCTCTCTTACATTTTAAGTCTCATCATCTACAGGTGACGGATTTGGCAGTTCACAAGCTATGAAGCTTCTTTCTCCAGAGAAGGTTGCCAGTTTGATTGTACTGCCCAAAGGCTGTTTGGAACAGACTATGAACAAACTGGTACCTAYTGCTTTAGCGCTCCGCTACCTCGACTTAACCGATCAGTGGTTTGACCTGCCTCCTGACGCCAGAGACGAGGCTCTGGCTAACGTTGAACGTGGTAATGTTACAATTTCATTAAAAAACATTTCTGCTGTTTTGTATTAAAAGCACTGAAATAAATTATCTAACACACTTGAAATCCACAAAGATGTGTCAAACTCGTGGCCCGCGGGTGACTCCTGTCTGGTCCACCAGGGTGTGTACCCCCCCCCCACCCCCCCGCAAAAAATTATACATAAATATTTTACTCATTATGAAAATTGTTACTTATTTCAATGGTAAACTTAAAATTTATGATTAAATGCAGCAAAATAAACACAAATATGATAATTGTCCTGCCCACTGAGCTGTTGGATTGAAGTAGCTGAAGAATTTAGTTGGATAGCACAGTATAAATATTTCAGAATGAGCTGCTTTAAAGTCAGCATCAATCATAAACTACAACTCCCATAATGCATGTGGACCATCCATGGGAATTCCCTGTCAAAAAGTGGGAGAGTTCAGAATTCAAGACGGCAGCTATTCACTAGTTACTCATCAGTGAGTAAAATTCTATTAGTTTTATTTTTAATAGAATTTCTGTATTATTTATTTCAGATTTAGTCAGTCGTAGTGCTTATCAGTGTTTAAAAGAGGACATGTTAAAACACTGTTTAGTCAAAGTTAAACATGAAACGTCAAAGTTAATTACAACTGGCCCTTCAAGGACAACCATAACACTCAYGTGGCCCTCAGGGGAAATGAGTTTGACACCCTTTCACCAAGAGAAGGCATCAATGTATTTTATTGTCTCAAATCTATTACTGCTTGTCTTGCTGATTTCATGCAAATAACTTTAAAACCAGTCAGATTACTTTAACTAGACTTTAGAAGTACTGGACAATTAAACACTGCAAAATCATACATGAAATACATTACTTTTTTTCCAGGTTATATGAGAATTTTTGAATTGAAAAGAAAAAACTTTGGTGTTTATGGAACATTCTCATCTGTGCCRTCTAGCAACTGGTGAATATTTTCTTTACGCTTTTGCCTTTTTTAAATGAATTATGATTATTTTATTTATTTCAGGTGTGTAATATGCCAAATCAGTCTTTAAAAAAACACCATCTTGTTTTGTTACTCTTCCTCAGGGTAACTGCCTATGTGGTGAAAGTTTTGTCGTTGGTGTCGGAACGTCAAACAGCAGCTGCTGGACAGCAGGGTCGGAGTAGCAAAGCTGTACCAACAGAGGAACTCATCCAGTCAGTCAGTTATTTGCTTAATAAGCAGCAGAAAGACGGGTCGTTCAAAGATCGAAAACCTGTGTTACACAGAGATCTTTTGGTAAACTCTTTTTTGTTGTTTGTATAGGGTTTTATGTGAAAACATTTTAAATTACAACACACTGAACAGCTGTTACTTTAACTGGTCTCTGTGTTTAACGTAGAAAAACCAAGATACCTGGCTGACTGCTTTTATTACGCTTGCGTTGAATCGCTCCCTTCAGTTCCTGCCACCTAAGAGTCAACCACATGTGGTGAGATTAACTAAAAATTGTTGTTCTGAGTAAACAGTTATGTGTCAATAGCACAAAGTATTCCAAACCCAGTTAGATGGGGTTAAAGCTTATTGAATATACAGACAGCCAGGGTAAAAAGTCATTGTACACTCATTCACATTTTCTTTAAGTTTTAAACACAAAACTTTAAAATTACTTTTTATGGAGGTAACTCTGCTAAAAGGATTTTTTTTGTCTTGAAACTACATGCAAATAGGTTTGTTATCATCTACTGAATGTCAGCCTAATTCTACCTCATACATCCTGTAACATCAACAAATCCATCTATAAGATAGGGATTATATTTTGTCTCAAATTGCTGCTAATGTCTTTGTTAATCTCCTGTTAGTGATCTATTTCCATCAGTTGGTCAAAGTTCAAGTTTTGTAAGTCGATACAGATTTCCAATTCCACTTCAGCTCTGACATAAAGAAACACATTTGGCCAGTTTTGATTAAACTCTAAAAACAATAACTGACATTAATGTTAATAATTTTGTTAATATTGCTCATGTCTGGTTAAATTGAAAATGTGATTGTCTGCTCATAATAATAAATATTCATGGTAAAGCAAACTTTAATTTTCTCCAAAACAATTTCTTATCACTAGAAATTTACAAATGATATCCTCCAGATTAATAAATTATTTAATAAAAAAAACAGCATAAATCATTCTATAAACTAGATGGCTTAACATTTTTATCTTTTCATCCACACCACAAAACATCAAAGTGCACAAATTTACCTTTTCTTTTAAATGAAGACCTGAAATTAAAATAAACTGCAGCAGTGTCATCTGATGTAACATTAAATACTACATTAGATTGTTAATGCATTCATTCATTTCATGGTGACTACACTATAAGAGCTTTCCTGCCATTAATGGTCAATAAATACACATAAGAGCGGAGGCTGCATTGTGTTTAGGTGAGAGAAAGAATAAAGTTGCTGAACTGCATGCAAGAAAATACACTCACTTGTGATTTTTTAAGATACACTTATTCAGTTATTGTTAACACAAATAACTCATCAGCCAATCATGTGGTAGCAAATGTCAAATGGGGCATCATAATGAGGAAGAAAATAAAATGTAATAGCCTAAAGACTCTGACAGTAACATAACTTTTTTATGTTTTGTTAAGTTTTCTAAATATGTAAATGTTTAAAAAATTAAAATAAAATAGGTGGAAAATGTTTAACAATTATTTTGTGTTGTGTTTTTGCAGGAAGACCGTATATTAAGAGCAACAACGTATCTCGAGTCCCAACTACCAGAGCTAAGCCATACCTACATCATGGCCTTAACAGCTTATTGCCTCTCAGTCTGTCGGCCTCAAGAAGAAGTCCGATTATCTGCATGGAGGAAACTTAAGTCAAGAGCAATATTAGGCATGTCTGCTCCAATATGCTCTGTCTGTCATTTCAAATTTCATTTCATTTAGCTTTTTATGATACAATCAATTCAAATAAACAGCACTTTATCCAAAAAGTACGTTGATAAAAAAACCTGTGTAAAATTCTGATTTTACAACATTGTCAAATACTCAAACACATTCAGAGTTCACAGATACTGCTCAGAAAAGATGCATAGATTAGTTAACACTTTGAAGTTGATGAACTCTTGCAGCTGCCACACTCACTGTAGTAAAAGTGTTGTTAAATTATTGTTTTTTATATTAGATGACAATCAATGCTACTTCTGGACTGAACATCCCAATCAAGCAAATCAAGTTGATGCAGATGCCACCACAGTCGAGACAACAGCCTATGCCCTTCTAACTGCTGTGGAACTTGCAGATTATGAGTGGGCAGACCAAATAGCCTGTTGGTTAACCAGCCAAGAAAACTATTTTGGAGGCTACAAATCAACACAAGTGATTATATTGTGACCTTTAAAACTTGTTTTAAATGGTCGCTCCTAATYAACCTGCAATCYAATGTTGTACACTGGCTATAGTTTRTATTGGYACGTTGTTTATCAGARACATATTTTTAAYGTTTATTTTTATTCCATTTTTTCCCCACTCTGTAAAGGATACAGTCATGGCACTTGAAGCCCTGGCAGACTATGAAATAAAAAAGCCCAGACCAGAAGGAAACATAAAAGCAGTGTTCACTGTTCCAGGAAAGGCTGAAATTCTAACACTTCAACTAAATAATATAAGAGAAAAAGTGGAAACAGAGCTGAAGGTATTTCAAATGTTTCATGCAACACACTTACATGAAATGCTTTTAATAAAAATCTGTTTTTATTTTATCTGTGATTGTTGTTTCAGATGCTTAAAGGGAACAACATCACGGTTCAGCTGACAGGAAAAGGAGAATTCAAGTTAAAAGTAAGTTTCATTTATTTTGCAGTTCATGAATGAGATCTATAACTGCCAGCAAATCTCTTCCTCTTCACCAGACTGAAAAAGCCTTCCATCTGCTGGACCCTGAGGACGACTGTACCCATCTTTCTATCAGTGTCACAGTGGAGGGGAAGGTGAAGTACACTGGTGAGTTTGAACAACAACAAATCATAACCACCAGCAACAGCAAACACTAAAGGGATCCCTGATTAGTTGTAACATTAGACTTTATTTGATAAACATATATTTTAACTGTAAAATAAAGACTGTAAAACACTGTAGGCTGTTCAATTTTGTAAATTTTTAAAAATATATTTTAATACAGACAACCATTTTATTTACATGCAAAGCATTCTGGGCAAATGATGACGTGGATAGGTCAACGGCACGAGGCTGCTWGCGAGCTATATCCACCCTGAAGGTTAATCTTGGACAATATCTGATGATCGACTCTTTTAAATGAAACCAGAGAGCGTTGACAGAGAGGAGAAGGTAGAAATGACTCAGCCTGGAACTGAAAATATGGATGGAGGACAACAGAGCTGCTTCATGGAAGAAGAACCTCAGATTAGCCTGTTAGCTTTGGCGCCGACATTATATTGCCTTATAGCTCAGCGCTAGCGCGACAAACTAACAAGCTAAACTGTTGTCCTCCATCCACATTTTCAGTTCCAGGCTGAGTCATTTCTACCTTCTCCTCTCTGTCAACGCTCTCTGGTTTCATTTAAAAGAGTCGATCATCAGATATTGTCCAAGATTAACCTTCAGGGTGGATATAGCTCGCAAGCAGCCTCACACCGAGTACCTATCCATGCCATCATTTACCCAGAATGCTTTGCGTGTAAATAAAATGGCTCAGTCCGTGTAATTTATTTTTTTAAATTTTAGTTCAAAAAATTACAAAACTAAACAGCCTACAGTATTTTTACAGTCTTTATTTTACAGTTAAAATAAATGTTTATCAAATAAAGTCTTATGTTACAACTAATCATGGATCCCTTTAAAGTCACTGCTAACCTTTTTTTAGCTAAGGTCATCGAAAATTATGAATATTATGATTACGATGACACTGAAGACAAGGCGGCACAAGAGGCGCCAGTTGAAATTGATCATTCTGATGCTCCCATAAGAAGCAGGAGAGATCTTGAGAACACCATAAATCCAGACAACACTGTTACCTACACTGTCTGTGTCAGGTTAGTAAAGATCCACTTCATATGAGCTTCTTTTAAGTATTTACATCGTTGAACTTCACAAAAAAGAAATGCTGATCTGAATCTTTCTCAACGTGTTTTTCTTCATAGTCTTAACCCAAACACCAAGCTATCAGGAATGGCTATAGCTGACATCACACTACTTAGTGGATTTGAAGCTAAAATGGAAGACCTTGACAGGGTTTGTTGTTTTCTCTTTTACTTTTTATATAATTACCATCAACAGAAAGTTGTGGGATTTCAAACTCATGTGGTTAAACTTAAGTTTGAATGGAGACAAAACTCTACGGGTTCATTTCCTTCTTCACAGCTAAAGCAGCCACCTGAACAATATATTACCCATTATGAGTTATCCTTTGGAAGAGTGCTCATCTACTTCAATGAGGTGATGCTGAATTAAAGTTAAACAAAAAAAATGTAGGTATCCCAATATTAAAACCTCTTTTCTCTCTTTGCAGCTCTTTGAGCAGCAGGAATGTTTTAGTTTTGATGTTGTACAAAGTGTCCCGATTGGTCTTCTACAGCCTGCTCCAGCTGTGTTCTACGATTATTACGAACCAAGTAAGTCGTTCGTTTAAACTTTCAACACGTTTCTTTAAAAGACACGTCATTTCATAAGAATATTTAGGATTATTTGGGTTTTCTTTGCAGGCAGAAAGTGCACTGTGTTTTACTCTGCCCCAAAAAGAAGCAAGATGGTCTCCACGCTGTGTTCAGATGACGTCTGCCAATGTGCAGAAAGTAGGCCATACTTGCAGACTGTGTATACTGGAAGCATTAAAAAATGTAACAGTTTGGATTTCAAAATAACTTTAACAACCCTTGCTAAAAGTTGACCATGCAAACAGTGATAAAACTGCTCGGCATTGTTTAAAGGCGACGAAGTGTAATGATGGATGCCACCTGAATTAGGAGGAATGGACTCCCTGATCCGAACCAGAGTTCGATTTTGTTATTGAACTTCTGTGCTATGAGCTGCCCATAAT